TTGAACTGTTGGTTGTGGTGCAGTGTTTTTGAACTGTTGGTTGTGGTGCAGTGTTTTGAACTGTTGGTTGTGGTGCAGTGTTTTGAACTGTTGTTGTTGTGTTGGTTGTTGTGTTGGTTTTGGTGCATGCCTGTGTCTGTGTCCATGTGACGATGTAAATGTTTTAGGTAGTCCTGGTGCAGGTGCTTCTCTTGGAGGGTTTGGTGGTATATAAGTTCCACTAGCTAGTATATAAGTTCACCAGCCTGATATAAGTTCCCAGCTGGCACATATGTTCCATCTGCAGCATAATGTCCTACCTGACTTTTCGTTTTTAAAAACATTTTAGGTCTGTTTTGGTCTGTTGTAACTCTTTTTTCTTGACTTTCCACAAACAGTTGCTCTAACGGCGTCATAGGCACTTTGAACTGCTGTCTCGTTGCTGCATCTGTTATTTTCGTCATATTTTGTGCTACTCTTTTAACTCTTTTGTCGAAACCTTCAGACTTCAGTTTCTTTCCAGAATGAGAAGTCGTTCACTAGTTTCACCTTACTATGAAGAGCTTCGAAGGCGTTCTTAAAGTCAGCATTCATTAAAGCTTCATTTGAACTGTCTCATCCGCTTGTATTTTTGTCCTTATTGACTCCTATAAGTTGGGCTGCTTTAGCGTTGCTTGGGCATCTAACAGTCATTATTAGCTTTTATATATTCTGCGCTTTTCATTGCCTTTTGCATGGCTGCGTCGTTATTTTTACTTTCTTGTGCTAAGTTTTCAATACTGTACGGTTTGGTTTTGCAACTGTAAAAGTTTTTCTGCCTTTACATTTGCTTTCAACTTCTTTATTAAACTCATCGCTATCCATATATGTCTTCAGGGCTTTTTTGTTTTATTTCTTCATCTTTCAGTACTTTATATTGAGTAGTATGGTTTTTCAAATTTAAACATCTTGTTCCATTTTTGCTACTTCTGCTGCTTTTTCTGACACTTTTTTCGCATATTCCTCTGTACTTAGTTCTTTCAGTTGTTCTTCTTTCTTCTTTTTCTCTACGTTTAACTCATTGAGTTTCTTTGTGTGTCTGTCATATTCTAGTTTCTTTTCGTTTTCACTTATTTGTTTCTGTATGTCTTATGTGACTTTTTGACATCTGTTATTTGATTTTTGAGTGAACTCAAATTCATTTGACTTTGAGGGTTATAAGCTGTTCCGTCTGCAGCTCCACCATAGCCTGCCATTTTCGCTAAAAGTGCCGCTCTTAAACCTCCACTCTGTGCACCAATAACTCGGTTTAAAAGCATAGGGTTGCTTGACATTTGTTGCAACATAGTGGGGTCATTCATAATTTGTTGTTGCAACTGTTGTTGTGGTGTCAGTTTTACTATTGGATGTTTCAATGCTCTCTTCCTCTTACGTATATTCTTACGTAGCTTACGTGGCATTTTAAGTGAAGTTAAAAAGCGGTTTTTGACAGATGTTTATATGACACTTTTTGTTCAGCACAAAAAACTACTCGGTCAAAGTGTTGTCAGTTTTGTAAAATAACCGTCCTATCTCATTCTATAAGGGGAAAAGGCTTCTCAAAGTATACTTCCTTGGAACGCCTGTAACTTTTCCTGTAGCGACGATAGACCCTTACTTGTCCGGACAAAGTTATACTATTTTGAGTGCTCTACAAAAAAGTCAACGGCGACGACTCTCAAAAACCGTTGTGTAAAAAGTTTTACCGTTTGACAAAAAAGTATATATAGAAAACAAAAAACGTTTATAGTTCATTCGATATTTGAGATGGAACGGTTTTCCAACGGTAACTATTAAATAAAATAAAAAAATAGAGGGGGTTACCGTTGACGAAAACGGTTTATTTTAAACTTTTCTATGAGTAGTCCGAAAAAAACAGTTCATTTTTCATAATGGAAGGAAGAAAAAATGTCGCAAACAATTCGTCGACTACCTCTGCAGTTAAAGTTCCTACAACTTATGTCTCACCATTCTCAAAACCCTTACGACCTCCTATAATACCAAAGCAACTTCCTCATACAATTGCAAACAATTCGTCGACTACCTCTGCAGTTAAAGTTCCTACAACTTATGTCTCACCATTCTCAAAACCCTTACGACCTCCTATAATACCAAAGCAACTTCCTCATACAATTGCAAACAATTCGTCGACTACCTCTGCAGTTAAAGTTCCTACAACTTATGTCTCACCATTCTCAAAACCCTTACGACCTCCTATAATACCAAAGCAACTTCCTCATACAATTGCAAACAAATTGTCCAACAATTTGAGTTCTTCTTCTCAAAACACAACAGATACAGTTGTCCAAACAGCACCAGAACAAGTTTCACATAGTTCTACAATTGCAAACAAATTGTCCAACAATTTGAGTTCTTCTTCTCAAAACACAACAGATACAGTTGTCCAAACAGCACCAGAACAAGTTTCACATAGTTCTACAATTCAAGACAAATTGTCCAACAATTTGAGTTCTTCTTCTTCTCAAAACACAACAGAAACATCTGAAACAGATTTACAACCAGCACCAGAACAAGTTTCACATAGTTCTACAAGTATGTTAACAAGAGCACAATTTCAAGATTTAATTTCTCTTGAACAATATTCGAGTAACGAAACACAAAGCGACGACTGTAACCTCTCGCTACCCGAATCCATTCAAAGAAAATACGCCATGAAAAGACTGAAATTGTTGTATAAACTTCTTAACAATTGGGGAGTCGAAGACAACTCAGATTATAGTGAAATGTTTAACAAAGTCATAGAATCTGTTAAACCAATTGAAAACGACATAAAAAATCCCGGTGTTCTTGTAGACCTTTTCGCCTCAAAATTACCAGTTACAACCAATCTAATAGCAACACAAGCTATAGAGCAATTTATTTTATGTTTTCCCAAGCAATATAGACAACACCTGAGGGAAACAAGAATAGGAAAATTTCAATTGGTGTATCCTACAACATACAACTATTACGAAGAAGCAAATGAATATGGAGAACTCTCATTCCATTTCACACTTTCAGTTCCTGAGGGGGAAGAAAAAGCAATCTATCATGTACAATCTCTTGCAGGATGTGAAGGAAAACCCCACATAATAACTACTGTTGCAATTGACAAACCTGCAAGAGTCGAAGACGATGTTTTGTTCGCGTCCATTGCTGGTTTTGGCATGGGAGAACCAATTCCAATTTCCCATTTCACAGAATACTCAGCACAACATTTTCAAAATGTAGAATTCGTGTTCTACGACCATCAAAAGTTCCTGCTAACAAAGCCAAAGAAACAATTTGTCTCAATATTTGTTGCTGGTCATGTGGCTGACAAAGAGCCATCAGATACTGACTATGAAGAAGAGGAGGAGGAAGAAGAAAACGATAGCGATGTCGTTCTTATCGAATAAAAACTTTAATTTCTTACTATATAATTTTTTAGTTCTCCTCTAGGTTTTTTAGGGGCTAGAAGGGGCGCAGCCCCTGGAAGCCCCACTCCCTTTTTTTTTTTTTTTTTCTTATTGAGAATTTATTGTGATAAGAGACTCTCGTAAACGAAAAAGGGGATTTGACTCCGTCAAATCCCCGCTCACAAAAAGTGGACTTTACATTTTAAGAAGGGAGTGGGGGACAAACTCGCCCATTGTCACTTTTCATTAACCTTAAACTTGTAATTTTCATTATTTTTAATTAACCTTATTTCTTTCCCCATTCCTAATTTATTTTATTCACTTACTATTAAAAGTCACATTTTAATAAAATATAATAATTTATTTATAGCATTTTTTACTATACTGTAATAAAAAATTAATTATAATAAATTAAATGTTTATTAAATCAAATGTTTTCTTTGCAATAATATTTTTAATGTTGAGTAAACAATGTTGGGATCAAGTGTATCATTTTTCAGACCTTTCTGAACAGCTTCAAGCATACTGATGCATTCGACTTTTTAAAATTGTGTCATTTCTTCGAAATCTCTTGTGACTTTTTTGATAACTTTAACACTTCTCTCTGAATCCAGACCTTTAATTTGCAACTTAATCAGGAATGAAGGAACAACACTGGAATATAACTCGATGACAAGTTCATCGAGTCGAAGATTTGGTTGTACACCACTTGTATGTGCCGGATACCATTGTGTCAAATTTTTTCTGAAATTAACTTTAAAAGTACTAAGTAAGATCATGAGATATAGCAATATATGTTTAAACCAACTTATATTTTGGTTGTACACCACTTGTATGTGCCGGATACCATTGTGTCAAATTTTTTCTGAAATTAACTTTAAAAGTACTAAGTAAGATCATGAGATATAGCAATATATGTTTAAACCAACTTATATTTTGGTTGTACACCACTTGTATGTGCCGGATACCATTGTGTCAAATTTTTTCTGAAATTAACTTTAAAAGTACTAAGTAAGATCATGAGATATAGCAATATATGTTTAAACCAACTTATATTTTGGTTGTACACCACTTGTATGTGCCGGATACCATTGTGTCAAATTTTTTCTGAAATTAACTTTAAAAGTACTAAGTAAGATCATTTATTTTTGCATAATATAATGCCAATATGGTTTCTTTTGATTTTATTTCATTTATAAGCAAATCAGATTTACCCAAAAACTCCACTCCATAAGCGTTCATTTGCTAAATTAAAAAGTGACAATGGGCTAGTCTGTCCCTTTCTCTTAAGAAGGAATTGTTTTTATCGTTTTCGTTTTATGTCATTGTGGTTTAACTAAAAGCAAATATGTCCTATAAACATGTTTTAGAAATATGCTTTGAATGGAAATTAAATTTAAAATGTCTTCTGGTAATCAAAATTTATCACATCTTTGAAAAAAAAATTGATCAAAAATTTTTGAATGTAAAAATTGAGTATGAAAAAATTGTTCATGCTCTTGCACCATACATTAAATTTTTTTGATTCAGATTGATGGTAAAATTAAAGAAAAATTTTGAATAAATTTACGATAAAAAATTTTTAAGTGAAATCATTTTTGTCAAATGATTGGAAGAATCGTTCTCCCAGAAACAAATCAAAAGCTAACATACTCATCGATAAGTATTGATGGTATCCAACAAGATACATTCCTTTCTTATACAATTAAGCAAGTTTTCACGAATACTACAGGTCAAAACACTGACATCACATACTGTTTCCCAAACGAACCACAATTCTGCACATATGATTCTCTTTTCATTGTTGATGGTAAGGAGATCAGGCCACAACTTCGTGTAAAAGAAGAGGCTAAGAAAGAATTCGAAGAAGCAAAGCACGCCGGCCATCATGCTATGCTTGGTGAAGATATTGGCAATGGTCTTAGCAGTTTCCAACTCGGCAATCTTCCTGCTGGCAAGACAGCCGAAATTCACCTTAAAGTCTCATTCCTTGCCGACATCAACGAAAACGGCTACTTCTACAAGTTCCCACTTACGCACAGGTACCAGAGTGGCGCAGTTACTAGCAACAACTCAGACAAGCCAGAATCATTCCATTTCGCAACTACAATCAAAACACAGAGAGATATACAAGACCTTAAAGTATCTGTTGATGGCACCAAAGACGTCAAAGATGCTCACAACGCCACATTTGTCACAAATAATCCACCAGCAAAAGACGCAATTGTTATTGAGACCCATATCAAAGACGAAGATAAGAATGTTGCCATCTCAAGTGATGGCTACATTGCTATCACTACATATCCATACTTCGAAGGTCCAATTGATTCGAATTCCGAATTCTACTTCATTGTTGATTGTTCTGGTTCAATGTCTTGCAGCCGCATTAATAATGCTATTAAATGCATGCGCTTATTCATTCAATCTCTTCCCGTTGGTTGCAGATTTTCAATACTCAGATTCGGATCTCATTTCGAAACAGTTCTTCCTCCATGCGATTACACAGATGAGAATGTTGCTAATGCCATGAATCTTCTTGATAACATCAGTGCTAACATGGGTGGTACAAATATCTTAGCACCTCTTCAACATGTTTCTGACCTTCAAGCATCTGAAGGATTCGTTAAACAGATCTTCTTCTTGACAGATGGCGAAGTCGACAATTCCGACATTATCTGCGCAACAGCACTGAAGAACAGGTCAACAAACCGCATTTTCTCAATAGGTCTTGGTTCTGGTGCTGATCCAGGATTGATCAAAGGCATGGCGAGAAAGAGTGGCGGCAATTATGCTATCATTGGCGATAACGATAACATGAATGAGAAAGTTATTGAGATGCTTAGCTCAGCTATTTCTCCTGCTCTCCGCGATATCAGTATTCAAAGTGAGAGCACACAAACAGAGATGTGGCCATCTCCATGTCCTCCTCTTTTCGCGAAGAACCCACAGAGTTTCATTGTTAAATCAGAATTCACAGAAAACATTCTTCTCAGTGGAACTCTTCTTCACGATCAAGTTGACATCGTTATTCCTGTTTCTCGTCTTGATAACAACAAAGGTCTTCGCCAACTATTCAGTCGTTACATTATTGAAGATTACGAATCCCAACTTCTTCTTAAAAATGATGAAAGCATCAAGAAGAAATGCATTGACTTATCTCTTGCATCAGGTGTTCTTTGCAAATACACATCATACGTAGGTGTTGACTATGAATCTCATGAAGAAAGAGGACAACCTGCTCCTCCATTGATCCAATGCTGTGCAATGGCTCCACCTATGGGAGTCTTCGGATTTGCAGCACAGCAATGCTGCTTTGCTGCACCTCCTAAACAATTCAATGCTATGCCAATGATGCATGGTATGCATCAATTTGGCGGTGGTATGGGATTTGGAGCTCCTCCACCGCCTCCTCCATGCGGTGCAGCTCCAGCACCTCCACAATACGCAGCTCCTCAAATGATGATGCAACAAGCTATGGATGATGGTGATGAAATGATCGCGAGATCTTCAAGCCATTCATCAAATTCACAAGAAGAACAGATTCGTAAGCAAAAGGTTGATGGTTCTTGGGATGATTTCAATGGTGTTGATAAAGAAATTGAAACTAAATATGGCCACAAAGTTGCATCAACAGTTGCAGCAATCGCATTCATCCGAAAGACATTCAAAGATCGTCTATCCGAATTCTCACTCATTATCAAGAAAGCACTTTCATTCCTTAAGAAGCAAGACAAGAGTGTTGACTGGGACTCTCTCATCAACAAATTCATTTGAAACTTACTGTTTTAATAAAACAATTTCACTTTTATTTTTCATATTAAACTTTATTTATGAGACACGTGTGAATTATAATATACACAAACATAGAATATCTCATTCTTTCACTGAATGTTTCATGAGACAATCCTTTTGAATAATTTACATAAAATAGACAATCGCCATTCTTTTTTTAAACAAATTTAATTAATGCGGCATAAAAAAAGATGAATGCTATTTCATATTATTCGAATTCGCATAGAGAGTATTAAAAAAATTGAATGGAAAGAAGAACCCGAAGGAGACCTCCAAAACAGCAAGGAGAACAAGAAAATGCATCTCCACCAAGGAGAAGAGTTCGTACAAGTAATTCTAGTCCTCAAGAATCTTCAATTCCAATTCGATCTCCTGATGAATCTCCTATCCAAGTACCTGAACATCAAAATCAACCAGTAGAAGAAATCCAAGCAAAAGAAGAAGTTAATGAAGTTAATACTGAAAATCTTAATCAAAATATTGAAAATTCAAATTCTCAAAACGAAGAAAATGATGAACAGTATCAAGTTAGTTGCAGAACTGTTTCAATTACAAGAATTAAATCAGGAATGAATGTTTCTAAGTTCACTTTAGAATTTAATGAAAAAACTATTTTTACAGGATTCGTAAAAAGCAAGATTTTCTCATCACCTACAATTACAATTAGTAATACAGATATCTCGCAGCCTATCTGCACAATGTCTGTCACTAAAAACTCAACATTTATATCAAAAACGCCGAACGGAGAAGAAATTGCACATATAGAGGTCATTCGACCTGGTGGAGTTAGTTCTTATCCACGTTCATGGAAAGCTACAACAAAAGGTAATAATATAACACATAACTTATATTCAAAGCCACCAGTTCTTAATTCAGAAGGAAGATATGAATTATTCTTTGGTGGCAAGATGACTACAACAAGCGTTAAGAATTGTATATTAATTGATAAAGATGAAGAATTTGAAGTTATCGGAATTCGCAAAATTCATAAGAATATACTCGAAATTGATGGTAGAGATGATTACACAGACTTAGAACTATTTGAACTTGGAATTGCAGCTTTTCTTGCTGATTAATTTTTAAAATGTTATTTTAAAACTTTTTTATTAAAGATATTCTTATTTTTTTGTAAAGATACACGAGGTTATGTCAATTATTACAATGTCAATATAATATTTCATTATTGCGAGAAATATTAAATTAAATTATGGTTTTGGATTCTTTAAAATCAACTTTTGATCTTGTTGTTCCTTTTGGATATAATATGATAAGTTATTTTAACAATATTTTTAATAACATGAAATTTATATCAGAAATAATGAGTATAACTGATATTCTTGTTATCAATAGCTGTATTATGGAAGTATTGATGAATTTGAAAAAATATCAAAAATATGAAAAGGTTAAAATTTGATTACATTATTACTATACACAAAAAATTTTAAACACAATATACAAATAATAATAAAATTATCATTTCCGCCGACCTTTGTTAGATTTTTGAGCTTCTTCTTTTTCTTCAGCTGTTTTAAGTTCCAAATACATGCTCTGCATATAGTCATGATATTCCTTCCTGTCTTCTCTTCCGTATTCCCACTTTTTATTCAGAATTCTCCAATCATCTTCAGGAGTTTTGTATCCGTAGACCAAAGGACTGATAATGAAGAACCCTGTCAATGCAGCAACCATAACAGATAACGCAATGAAGCCTTTCCAGTAGCCACTTTTGATCCAAAGGTCCAAAGCAGCTCCAAAACACATACAACCGAACATAAGAGGTATAAGATAGTGGTACAAGAACATTGTGCGGGGAACTCCAAAAAATGGAAGGTATGACATCCAATAACCGACAATTAACCTTGTAATATGAGCAAAACCTTTCCTTGTGAAGCCAAGCATGCATGCTAATACACCAAAAAAGGCAGTGTAATAGACAAAAACGTTGCCTGCACATACACAATTTGTTCTAAGTCCGTAATCATGGTAAAAACTCACCCAAACGTCTGTAAGTAGCGGCCAATCTTTAGGACGTGACATATATGGATGAGGTTCGAAGTTAAGACCGTTAGACATAAAAGCAGAACCAATACAATTTGCAACTCTCGCTACAACTGGTGGCCAATAGACCCATTTAGTTAGATCTGTTGTATTCTTGTAGTTGAGAGTGTATGACTGTATTTCGTCGTCTTTTGTATCTTCATAAATGAATGGAGTCGTTGTAATATGAAAATACCATATAATATAGTGAAAGATAAGTCCAGGATAAACGATAGTAAACAACGATCTGCATATTTCGGAAAATGAATTTTCATCAATTTCGAAATCTTTTTCATCAAGATAATACATGAGTTGTGCATAGCCAGCAACGAAGAATAATGATAGTGCGGTATTTTTAACTGAGTATGCAAAGCTCATACAAATTGAAGCGATGTAAATCCACAACCACCAAGATTTACTCTGAACTTCTTTGCTAAGCCATATATTTATACCGATCATACCAACCATTGTAAATAAATGGAGAGTGCCGTCTGTTAAACAAAACTTTCCTTCTGCAATTAAGGTTGTATCAAGTGCAGCCATGAAAGATGAGGTAAAACTGGCTATTTTTGATAAAGCCATGCATCGTAAAGCTATATACATTGCAGCAGGGACAAGAGAACTAAGCATGATAGGTGCAACTCTCGTAGTTATATATTTTTCATCCGAATAAGCGCGTTCTCCTTCATCAGAGTATTCGATGGAGCCATCGTATTCTGCTAACCATGCAAATTTAGCAAATATTAGCTTCGCAAGTGGTGGATGTATATCGAAGAAAAATTCATGTTTGATATAATGATTAGTAAAGTTGCCAAAATGTACTTCATCAAATACCATGCCAGCTGGATATTCAAATGCTTTTGATCTTGCATAATATGCAATTCCGGATAAAATTAAAATGTTAATTAGATCTTTAAATTCAAAAACAATGTCGTGATGCTTAAGAACAAAATATTTACGCAGTCTGTATAATTGTAGCCAATTTACAAACCGAATAAATTTTTGCATATTTTAATAGACATGTGATATGAATTAATCTTGAAGAAGGTTAAATCTAAATGATTAAAATATCCTATGTATGGCTTTAAATTTGTATGGAGATATGAATGCATATCAAAATTCTCTAAAACGTTCCAAAAGATGTAAAATTCTCATAAAGTCTATGGTTAGAGAAGACTTTAATTCCATATGTAATAACACTTATAATCACTTATTAGATAAACACTAAAAATGTTACTGATTCCCAATCATAGCTAATTTATTTTGCATTATGGTCAATTTCATCATAAATATCGTATTATACTCTTCTGTGATGAATAAAAAGGATTGTTGGACTTGGTTATTGCAATGAAGTTTTCCATTTCCATTTTTAAATTTCAATTTCACAATAAATTGTTCTCTAGGAAAATTATATCCTTTTATGCTTATCCTTATTTGAGTTGCTCATACGCTTGTTGGTGTTTGCCTGAAAGATCAACCATTCAGTGATCTTGTTCAAAATATTTTTAAATTGAGGATTTATTTTAATTGAAACAGCATGAATATGTGTCATTTAGGTAAAAATGCACATTCAATAGGATATGTTAGAAAGAAACAACAAAAGCAAAAACAATACAAATTATTTCCAAATCATTGATTGAAATAATCAATGAGGAGCATAAAGTGGAATAAACAGGATCCCTTGAATAAATTTCTTACTATAATACTTAATAAAAAAATAGTTTTAAAAGATTTCCAAAGCACAATTATACTAATCAACTGAATATTTCCATTTCATTAAATAATGGCCTCATCTTTTCACAAGCCTTGAAATTCTGGTGGAATTTCATAATATTCTTCACGTATATCAAAACCCATGTTTGGATTTCGTCTTGGAGGATGATTTGGTCTACGATGTTGATCATGTGCATACATTGGATATAGTCTTGGAGGATGATTTGGTCTACGATGTTGATCATGTGCATACATTGGATATAGTCTTGGATTTTGAAATGGCCGTGGAGGTTCTCTGTTGAACGTTCCTCGTTGTGCCCTTACAACTCGGTTATGGATTCTTCCTTCTAAAACGCCATTATCATCATCTATTAAATCTATTAAATCAAGTTCGTCGTCAATCATTTCACCTTTATTTATTGTAAAAGGCTGATTTGGTTGTGGAATTTGTGGTACACGCGTATGCTTGAAAACTCTGTTGTGATCAACCGGAGTAAATGGATGAGTGCAAAGATATTGAGCTGCATTTTGAACATCGTAATTTGTGATAATAAGAGCGACTCCGATAGATGCCTTATTTGAAAATCCCATGGAAGCTAACTGAGGATTTAACTGGTCATCCTTCGTTTTGGAAAATCCTGGATTTGTTGGACCGTAAGCTAGTCTGTAGCATGAATTAATTGTTTGATCAGTATGATTTACAGATACAAATGTTCTAACTTTGTTAATAAAATCGTCGTTTTCTTTTGTTGTATGATAATCAGTAGGATTATGATTTAATTTTAGATAGCTAAATAATGATGAAGATTTGCGTAAAGTTATGTCCTGATTATAAGTATTAGTTCCTTGATAAACTATAAAAAATTCTGATTCATTTGTCACCCTGTCGTAAATATTTCTTTGTAAATCGGCAACAATGCTTCTCCAACAAGAACTCTTTTTAAGATTTATAATGGCTTCCTGCCCACATGATGAAACGAACCTACAATCCATTAAAAATTTTTGACTTGAATTTGAAAAAAAAATTTCCATCGCTTTTTGCACGTCTTACGACAAGATTTTTATTAAAGACTATGCATTAACTAATCATCATTTGCGATTTATAATACAATCAATATACCGCATTAAAATAGGTAACATTTAAAATTAATTTCTTTTTACACTAGAACCAAGGTGTTAAAAGGCCGACTGATATAAAATTAATAAATAATAATTTCTGTCGCTTTAAAAATCATGTATTATAATTTTTTCGTGTATAAGAAGAAATTCATTAGGGTTGTAATGCATGAAAATTCGGTTCACTTCATTTTTGACACTTTACATATCGGATGTATTATCTAAGAATTATGTAATGCATGAAAATTCGGTTCACTTCATTTTTGACACTTTACATATCGGATGTATTATCTAAGAATTATATTATAAAATAATAATTTTGTGTTTTATAAGTTTATTTGTATAAATTGATTCAAAAAAATGGAAAGACAAGAAGTGGATCTGCCAAATGAAAATCAGATTTATAGTTTTAGAGAGTTACATACATGAAATATGAAAATTGAACTTTGTATAAGGAATTGTTGGCTATGATGTACTGATCATGAATCAGTACATCATAGCCAACAATTCCTTCGCAAACAGCGGGAAACTTTGTCTGAATAGTTTAACATTCAGACAAAGTTTCCCGCTGTCAGAGAGGGAATGGAAGGGTAAGAGGTATATATTCATAATGTATACCTCTTACCCTTTCATTCCCTCGAGAAAGTTCAAAAACTTGGGTGCAATCAGTTCTGATTGCACCCAAGTTTTTGAACTTTGTATACGGAATTGTTGGCTATGATGTACTGATCATGAATCAGTACATCATAGCCAACAATTCCTTCGCAAACAGCGGGAAACTTTGTCTGAATAGTTTAACATTCAGACAAAGTTTCCCGCTGTCAGAGAGGGAATGGAAGGGTAAGAGGTATATATTCATAATGTATACCTCTTACCCTTTCATTCCCTCGAGAAAGTTCAAAAACTTGGGTGCAATCAGTTCTGATTGCACCCAAGTTTTTGAACTTTGTATACGGAATTGTTGGCTATGATGTACTGATCATGAATCAGTACATCATAGCCAACAATTCCTTCGCAAACAGCGGGAAACTTTGTCTGAATAGTTTAACATTCAGACAAAGTTTCCGCTGTCAGAGAGGGAATGGAAGGGTAAGAGGTAATATATTCATAATGTATACCTCTTACCCTTTCATTCCCTCGAGAAAGTTCAAAAACTTGGGTGCAATCAGTTCTGATTGCACCCAAGTTTTTGAACTTTGTATACGGAATTGTTGGCTATGATGTACTGATCATGAATCAGTACATCATAGCCAACAATTCCTTCCCAAACAACCCGAAATTTGTCTGATTCCACACTAATTTTATTAATTTATCTAAACTTTTATCTCTTGTTCTAGATAAATTATCATCAATAATAATCTCTTGTTCTATTTCACTATTATATATATATATATTTATATGATTTGATTTAAAAAAAATAAATAAATAAATTAATAAATCATTTACTCAAATATATCAAAAGTTTTATTTTTATATATAAAGATAACTACTTTTAAAAAAAAATACCCTATATATTTTTGCCATGTAAACTTGTCACTTTTGTCAGAAGTGAAGTGAACCGAATTTTCATGCACAACAAGGGTTGTTAAAAATATCAAAAATTAGCGTTTTGAAGACACCATGGTGTCTTATAATTTTCCCTTCCTTATTGGCGTGTAGAAATAAATGCGCCAATAGATTGAAGAAGAAGAATTGTTTTTCTCTTAATGAACTTTAATCCTTTTGATATAAGAATATTAAAAACATTAATATAATTTCGATTTCGGAAATTAAATTTCCAAATTTTTTGTCGATTTCGGAAATAACAGGATCCCGCATCCAACACGCAACAACAAAACACAAAACACACTTTTGGTTCTTTCATCGTTTTAATCGTAATTTATGTAATACATGATTTGGATAAATTTTACAAAAATAGAACCTATATTATATTCTTTTCAAAGATTCTTGCAAATCATCAAAAAATAATTGTATTTTAAAAACGATCAAATTATCCTTTCATTATTTTAAACTTAAATTAGTTTTTATGATTGACTAAAGCAATCATATTTATTCATCATTAAATAAACAAAAAAATAATATTTGAGAGTTATTTCAAAAAAAACACATTGAATTTATTAATTTGTCTCAATTTCAGTATTATAATTTTTATAATTTCAATATTTTGAAATACACTGTTTAATATTTCAATATTTATGATATTTCAATGTATTAAGTGGTCTCAAATTGAGCTTCTCAAATATAAGTTGGCTTATTCAAATAATAAAATTAAATAATATTTAAAATAATAAATAAAAGTGATTGAGGTCATAGCAAAACGGCTGTTTCAGTCATTAATTCTTAAAATAAAAAGGGTAAAAACTAAATAAAATGGGTAAAATTCAATAGTGTCTGTGCTATCGTTCAATTTGAAGGTGTCTTTTGAAACCGCAAGACACATTGAATTTTTGAATAGTGTATTATGGTTTGACAGACACCAATGAAAAAAATAAAATGATATTTATTTTAAATATATAAGATCCTTATATAAAATATAAATATTTTATCGTTTTATTTTCTTGTTTTAGAAATGTTTTTTATTGAACAATCAATAAAACTAACTCAAAAATAAAATTTTTGATTTAAAGACACTATGATGACACCAGGCAAATCTTCCAAGACACCTATCGTCGGGAATCTAACAACCCTAAATTTAATAGAAAAAAATGGAAAAAAATTCAAATTCAAAAAAATTAAAATAATTTATTGAATCTTACCACTATGCGGTTTTCAGGGAACTATACCGTGGGTTACAGCATGAACAGGTCTTGTCATACGAGTTCTAAAGCATCTAAATATTCAAATGTCAAATCAAAATACTGAGATTGAAAAATAATTCAAATCATTATTAATCAATTTATTCATTTATTTCTGACATTTAGCAAATTATCATATGAGCTGTAAAATGCAAAATTCTTGAATCTCTATTTATTAAAGATCAAAATGAAATTCAGCAAACATGGCCATTCAATAAGTAAAATCCAAGAACGGTTAAGACTAAGCAAAAAACACAAGATTGTTTATTGAACAAAAATTTTAAAACAAGATATAACAATAAAATTAAAAATAAATGCAAAAATTACTGAAAATATCCAAGAAAGTGATCAAGATATCCTAATTGATCAGATGTTGGCGCAGCAATAACTGGAATTGCTTGATGCTTTGATAAGATTTGAATTTGCTGAACTTGCAAAGGCGCTCCTTGAGTTGGTGTTTCTTCTTCAGCACGTGTAATTTTTGGTTGTACTGCTTGAGTTTGATACATAGGTTGCATTGGGATCGGACTAAAAGCGGATGTGAAAACAGGTAAATTAGCAATTTGAGGAGGATAGGAAACCGGATATGTTTGATGATCGAACTGTTGCTGCGGCGGTTGGCTTTGGGCAGGATGAACTTGCTTTATTGAAAATGAAGTCGAATTTTGTGCTGATGTCAGTGTTTGCAAATCTTCGGTTTGAAGGTTTGATAAAGGACTTCCATCTCTTGTGAGTTGACGATAATGATATCTGCATTGAACATCACTTCTGTTTCCTAAGCATTGCGCAATCTTTGTCCATGACTTTTCTCCATATTTTTTGACAAGTTCAATTAACTGTAGATTTTCTTCTGGGGACCAATGCTTCTTGCATATCCTTGGGTTAAGTCCTCTTGACCATCTTTGGGCGCACTATGCACGAGTTCTGTTGTTTCCAACAAAATCGGCAACAAGAGGCCAGTTGTCTAAACCATAACGGTATATACCAGCAATCAATCTTTGATCTTAGTAATTTGTCCATGTGCTTCGTTTTTTCCTCATGTGTCCTAAATCTTCAGAATCAGAATAATTATCATCATTTGACGGAATTGGGTCATCGGTAAGTATCATTATTTCTCGTATGTGCTGTAATGAATCTGCTCTCCTTAATATGTGCATAAAAACTTGTTTTGCTAAATCAAAATGCGTATTGCCCCTTAAATTTGTTTCTAATACTTGAGTTAATTGATCATACAGATTTATATCGATGTTTGGAAATATTGATTCAACCATTGACATTCCAACTTCTAATAGAAAGCGAACACCTAACTTTTTCTCTTTCATATAAACAAAATAAATAAAATTAAAGAAAAAATATTTTTAATAAAGGTTATATTATAAATTCGTCTGGCATAGTAAAAGAGGAAATTTTAATTTTTCACGTTTTAAAAATTGAGGGAAAGAAATTTTGAATTTGATTTTTTTATTTTGTACATAAAGGTTTATTTCAAATTCATTAAATATTGTTTTGTATAGTTATCAAATTTAATATCAAATTTTGTATAAGCATTCAATTTCATTTAACAATGTTAATCACAATTTTGTTTTTTTTTTAAATATGAAATTCGAATAACAAATTATAATAATAAACAGTATTTATCCCGGATATACAAAAATTGATTTCATGTGAATTGAAAAATGGACTGAAAAAATAAGTAGATGTCAAACCAAAATTTAATTATTTTGAACAAATATTTTATCACATATAATATGCATCTTATAAAAATATCTTAGAATAATTGTTAATCCATTATTTTTAACAAAAATCCATATTTTCACTTCATTTATTATATATACTAATATCAAATTATTTTGCAAATTATTTTTTGAAATTTGATAGAACCATTCAAAAACTTTCAAACGTTAAATTTCATATAATATAATTCTATTTATACAATTTAACTGTTCGATGCAAAAAATTATAATATCTCAAAATTAACTTTCATGAAATTAATTGTATTACTATAGCTATACATTCTCTCCAGATTTAAAATATTGTAATGTTCTCAAATATTGCACACAATTTATTCGAAAGCATTCAAAAATTTAATTCTTTCAAATCCGAAACAAAAATATTCTGTATTTTTTAATTATTATTAAAGCCACACGTGCATTAGTATAAACCTATTTATCAAAATGCTTTTATTTTTCATTTCAGCAAAATTTTCATTATTATAAACATCTTTCAATTTTGTATAATATTTTTCTTTAAATATTTTTCATTTTGAATGATCCTCTCTTAATTTTTTTCACAATTTCAAATTTAATGTTTTTAGTCAATGAGACTAGATACAACAAAATCATTCATAACTCTATTTATTTTGAATAAAATTAAAATCATATTTCACTTCTCTGAAGTTGGTTCAAATTTGGCATTGAGATCTTTTTTAAATTTATAAAATTGGCCTAAACTATATTGAGTAGTTTTTCCACCATTAAATCTAAATCGGACATCAAATCCTTTATCAGCAATATAATTATAAGGATCATTAGTTACTAAAATTGGTGAATATGTATAGCCTTCAGGATAATAATCTATTTGATTTTTTGATGAGGTTGCTGCAATGAATAAACGCTTAAGGGTGCACACGAGAGGATCATGTAAACTTCAGAATTTAGAACCTTATTTTTAGGCATTATCTTGGCTACCTATTTAGGCTCGAAAAGCAAAAAATATCAAAAAATACAACTTGACTCCATTATGACCCTTTCATGGAGGTAGTTTTTATCCGCTAGTATTTTCCCTTTGAATCTCTTTACAATTCGAAATCAAATTCAAACCTCAGTAGAAGAAAGGAAGAATCGACTTACTACGGTTGTAATACGAATAAATACATATATTTAATTATTTTTATTTACATAATAATTGTTTGAAGCTCATATTCCATCAAATTTTTAAATAAAAACATTAAAATGTTGAAAATGTTCATATATTTTAATAGGGTTTTGGCACTTTATTGAGGAATTACTACATACATAGTCGAACTGAACTTGATATTTTGAAATTTAAGTTATTTATCAAAATTAAAATTTAACTTGAAATTTATAATTATTTAGTCATATTTTGCATAATTCTAGGTAGATTTTGTAAAAAATCAAGAAAGAAAAATTTTAACGTGCTTTATTTTTTCTTTTTTATAATAATACATATATTATATATAATTAACATATTCATAATGTTTCACCCTTTCAAAAATATAATCCTCCTCCTCTCAAATAAACGTACATACGGGTGGCCTCTTTTTTCAAAAAATTAAAATTTGAAATTTTGGGCTCAAATATTAGAGATTTTTTCAACCTTCAACGATATATGTTGTCTATATCAGACCTCCTTTCTTTTTGATACTTAACATTGTTCCTAAATCTTAGCCGTTAAGGCTGTTCTGAAAATATTTTTTTTTCGAAAAAATTCGAAAAAAATTCTTAAAATTCAAAAATCCCTTAATTCATGAGGATTTTGGAAAAAAGTTTTTACATGAACATGTGTATATTATATGAAGTATATTGATAAGGTAAAAATCAAATTTTATTGCATATTCATCGAGAAAATAAACTAACGAATCCCTCAAAATTGAGAGGGTAATCCTCCTCCTCTCAAATAAACGTACATACGGGTGCACCCTTAATAAAAATGGCAAAATGAACCATCATGCATATTTGATTTAATCATAATAAGTATTAGGTATATCCTCTTATTTTGCTAATTAAGTAAATAGGATATACCTAAATAGCGCAAATTTTGATTTTACAAGAATCTACGAAGAAGAAATTTTGCATGTAGGAGATATCACAAGATTACGTTTTCACAAAATACTGCTCTTCATATTGCAGCCCGTTATAAAAGTAAAAAAACAACTGAATTTCTTATTTCAAAAGGTGCAAATATCAATGAAATTTCGGAAAAACTGCCTTTTTAATGCAGTACAATGTAATAAAATAGAAACAACTAGATTCCTGCTTTCGCATGGTGCAAATGTCAATGAAAAAGATAATGATGGAAAAACAGCTCATTCTCATGCAATTTTAAATAGAAGTTTCGAGACAGCCAAAATTCTGCATGATGCAAATGCTGTTCAGCATTAGAATCAAAAATAATCGTTAGTAAGCTTCACGCCTGTATAAAATTTCTAACGAAAAGAAACATTATTGAATGGATTCAGACAGCGATGATGAATATTGTTTTGTGAAACCATTTAAAATAGAATATAAAACAAAAGCATGGGATTCTGCTCATATCAAACCGAAGCGAGAAGGAAAATGGCTAGTTTTTTATGACGAAAAAACTGGAGAAAGACTAAATGACCCGCCTCCGATCTCAAAAGGAGATAATGGCAAAGCATATTATAAAAGAAAAATTCCAAAAGAACGAAAAATTCAAGAAATTCAGCCTTTTGAACCTCCAACAGATAATTACACGGCAATAAAACCAAGAAGACACTTTGTTTTGAAACAAAGACATATTGATACAGAAGATAAATACAAAAATATTATAGATGATGATTTATCCCAAATGCCAGAACATGCAGGCGAACATTACTTTGTTGGAAATCGTCATTATCGTAATCCTTTTCGTGTTTCTACATATTTAGTTAACGAAAAACGTGCACAAGAAATGAAAGAAATTTTAGAAGAAGGATATCGAAAACGTGCTCCAAAAACAGCCAGAAGGAATCTTCCATCTCTTTTTGAAAGATCTGTTTCAATTCCCAAGAAATTTGAATTATAATTATAATTATAATTTTAGAATTATTTTTTAGAATTTGTTTTCTTATTTGTTTTTATATTAAATAAATATATCTGCGATATACTTATACACTTGCGAGTTCTAATTTCAAGAACAAGTTTTTTGAATCAAGTAGATTTTTAATTTTAATGGAATTTTTATAGTTAAATCTTTATATATGTCTTATTTGTACAAAATTTAACTATAGGACATAATTGCAAGCGACGATAAAAACGGTTATATGGTCATTCTAGAATAAAGTAACTAGTAAGTATGTATTGGAATTTATGTCCGCTTTGATGATAAAAATCCGTGTTGCTGCACACTGATGATAATGACGTCTGAGCGAACATCAATTCTTTAAATTGATATTCTAACACACAGTATTTTTGCGTTTTAGTTATTTTACTTTGCGATCCAATTTTTGCATGCTATCGCATTGATTAACGTTAATTATTGTTGAATAAAAATCTAGAATAATTAAAGAAATTTATTTCATTTTAATTTACGTCATTTTAACATATTTATGTTGTAGTACTATGTAATTCTGAGCTAAAGTTTATTACAACTGCTGCTAAAATCATAATATTTATATTAAATCTGAAAAATCATTTTTCATTTTATAAGACTCTTTTAACTAGGCTTGCATAGACTTATTCTACCTGTTTTGGAATAATAAATCTTTAAAAACTATTTAAATTTTAATATCTGTTCCAAAAAATCATGATTACGATAGAACATAGAAGAATGTTTCATCACATGAATTGTTGAGTTCGAAAAAAAGTCACTCGTTGATAAAGGTATTTATTTTGGGCAATAAACATTATTTGATTACATCTGGTTGAGAGAAAAAGTGACCAATTCTATTTAGATTTTCTTGGCATATTGTAGTTCTGCTCTTTTATTAGAAAGCCTAGTAGATTTGATCGAATTGTCACTTTTATCAAAATATTCAATTGGTTGGATAAATTTATCATAAGTCTAATCATTCAAATTTTATCTGTAGCGTTCAGATACCCTATTGCGATCAAAAAAGTCAATTCTGAAGGGTATTCTCAGAAAAAGGATTCAAGATTGAGAATCGTAAATTTGGTTAAGTTATGATTCTTCTCATAGAATTATATAGCGAGTAATATTTTCAACCTCAATTTTATTTTCTCCTTCATTTTGAATTTATTTCACACTTCGGATATGAATATCTCATGTTATGACAACAATAAATCAGATTTATTATAAAACCAATCATTTCCAAAAGGACGATAGCCTCTAAAATCTGATTTTCAATTCATTAATAATGTTGACCATTCTCCTTCAAGCAGCTTTTTCTTCCACGAATGCTGCTGTATTTAAACTTGCAGGATCAACAGGATGCCCAGATTCCGTCACAACAGAAGTCACAGACCTCAATGAAGAACTTTTAAACACAAATCAAAAGCAAATCACTGCTTACATCGGTAAGGATGGTGCATCAGTAAACGAGGCTTCCATCGGTACAAAGGATGTTAGTTTTGTTTCATGTGGAGACGTTCATACAATCACACTTTCGCTTGATGATTCAGTTCAGACAAAGAAAATCACACTTAACAAGCTCACAGCTACAATCCCTTCGATCGAAACCCTTTCGGATCTCCATTTTTCAGATATCTCTGTTACAGATTCTAAAATTGAAAAAGGAGGACAATACACATGGCATACAGACGTCCACTCCACAGATATTTTATCAGGTGCCTCAAGTGCTATCAAAACAATGAATTCAAAGAACTTAACTCTCCGTGGCGAAGATCTCCTCCAATCTCTTAACATTTCTTCGAATGTTTTCTCTCCAGGTGACTCCCAGAACTTCACATACACCGTGTCAGTTTCAGAATATGCCTACGTTGAGTATAAAACCACAAATCAGTTCTATTTATCAATTTCTAATTTAACTGTTCCTCTTACGATCAGACCACTTGCTAATGGCACCCACATCAAGCTCACCTACGATTCTACCATTAATAAAGTTACAGTTGATAATCGTGATATAACAACGCTCAAGATCTCCTCCAAAGACGTTACTGACCTTAATTTGAACACTGTCGACTCATCCAACAAGATTGTTTACGAAAAAATCACTCCTATCAGTACGAAATTGAACGTTGGTCAGATTATCGGTATCGTAATTGCTGTTTTACTTATTGTCGCATGCATCCTTGCATGTGTCTTCATCGCCAAGTGCGAAGCCAAAGAGCAGGCTGAAGATGAAGCAGTTCTCCGTGGAGATGAAGGTCAGGATGCCCAAAATGACCAGGAAGAGCCAGCAGATAACAATAACGATTCACAAAAGGATGGTGAAAAAGTTAATTAAGAAATATATTTTTTATTAAATTCTGTTTCCAATTAAATTAAGTCTAAAAACATCTCTATTTTAGCATATATCTTTTATTACTTTAATAATTGCAAGATTTCATCGGTTCAAAAGGAATTGTAATTTGACAATTTTACATGTCATTTGTCGGCAAATGACGCATTGAAATTTTTTTCAATTAAAATGTGATGTTTTTTTAGAATTTTCCATATCGTTTTGGCTGTCATTTGCCAGTAAAAGATATATCATCTGTCATGAATGCATATTTCCTTATTTCTCCTTATTTAGTCCTCAATTTCATTGAAATTCCGGAATTTGTTTAAAAAAATAGAGAAATTTATTACATTATGAATGTCACAATTGCCAAAATGGCTTCAGAATTACCAAGTCTGCATTCTTAATTATATCATCTTATGTAATTGTTGCATGCTAAGTTCGGTCAACGATAGAAATTGAGTGGAAATTAATCATCGAGGAAGTTCGATTATGTAAAGAAAAAAAATGTTGTGGGATTTTTAATATTATATATTATTTTATAATAAAATTTTTTGAGTCATTTTAAGAAGCACATATAATTTTTTGAATTTAAAAATTAAAGTAGTGTCAAACGAATTTATCACTTAATTTAATACTCAGATTTCTTAAAATTAATGAAAAAAAGGTTTTCTAAGAACTTTTGAGAATGGTTTTCAAATTCCATTATTGAAAATATATAGGTATTGTATGAAATTCAAACTCTATATTTATTAAAATTCTAAATTTTTAATAAAATAACTTTTCAGAGGAATATGATTTTGAATGGTTGATTAATAAGTATAAAAATGTCTACGATTTTAAGGAGGGAATTGTTCCTTATGAGGTATACATCATAACTATATACCTCATAAGGAACAATTCCCTCTTGATAGCTGGGAAACTTTCTCTGAATAACTTATCATTTGGAGAAAGTTTCCCAGCTATCTATTAGAAACTAAAGGCTGTGAGGCACTAATATATAATCAGTGCCTCATAGCCTTTAGTTTCTTATTAAAAACGAGAAAACTTGTTCGAAATGATAAACAATTTCGAACAAGTTTTCTCGTTTTAAGGAGGGAATTGTTCCTTATGAGGTATACATCATAACTATATACCTCATAAGGAACAATTCCCTCTTGATATCCTGGATATTTTTGAATATATTTTTTTAATTAAAGTTCTCAAAAGTATTATCAAAAGTGATTTTTTAAAAATATCTCCAATTAATTAACTAATTAAAAGTATTATATTTTTAAAATTAAATAGTTTTTCAATTTTTTGAAGGAATTGAGATACTTCCCACGACAATAAAATTGAGAGGTTTACATTATGACTGATCTTAGCATGCAACATTAGAAATTGAGGTGTTTAATAAATAATAATATTTCATGTTAATTATATTTATAAAGAGTCTTGAATTTCGGCATCTGTGGCAAATTCATCATTCATTTCGATTTCAGCTGTTGAAAATAGAGGATTATCTGCTGTTGCATTTTCTCCCGTAGTTGTATAGAATACTGTTTCGTTTTCAATCATATCCATGGATTTATCGTCATTTTCTTGATTTCCATTTTTCGCCTTCTTCTTAATGAGAACAATAATCGCAACAATGACAAGGATCAATAGAATCAAAAATACAAATCCAATACCAAGTCCTAATGCTAACTTCCTCTTTTTGGCATCCTTATCCTGTTGATTATAGTTAGTATACTAGTCTTGGGTATGGTGGCACTGCGTTCCACCTTACCCAATACTTGTGAATTTGACACTTTACAAAACCGTTAACGTATATTTTACAACATGAACGCAAAAACTAATTTAACCTTAAATATTTACAAAGCCGCCAACCACTTCACTAACGAACTCACTAATGTAAAAATAAACGTTCTCACTATCGTTCTCACTAACGACTTCACTAATGTTCTCATAAATTTTCCTCAATATCTTCATCATCAGTGTTAACCCTATTGTAGTCATACTTGAAGCCATAAACTTTCTCTAACTTCTTAACGTACAATTTACATAACTTACCTTCGTCATCGTATGGTTTAATGATATAACTATTTCTATCTTTATACACAGTCAATGAAAAGTCAACTGGTCTCGGATGTATTTGAAAGAACATGTTATGCTCAGGAAGGAAGAATAAATGTTTAAATGTATGTTTGTTATATGTTTTGATTTGTATGAGTTGCTTTTGTTCTGTCATTACATCCAAATAAAATAAAAATAAAATAAAAAATAAACTTAAAAATTAATGATATCACCACCCTCACACGTATGAAAACATAGCACAAAAATAATGTTTATGTTAGAATGTTAGATCTAACACGTTTTCTAACCTCATTTCTAACCTGTTGAATTCATTGCTTTATAACTCACTGTCGTCTGCTTTCTCCAACTCTTCTAACTTCTTCTTAAGTTCAGCAATGTTGTCCTCATGAAGTTTAATCTTTCTCAAAATACCTTCTCTATCTAATGGTTGCTTTATCTTTCTAAACTGAACTCTACCATCCTTCATAGTATGAATGTAAAAACCTTCTGGAATAGTTCCTGATTTAATGTATTCTACCAAAAACTTTTGTTTCATTGCTTCAGTGACTTTAGTCGTCATTTCAATCAAATAAAAATTTTAATATTAAATAAAAATAACGTTATTTTTTCAGTAAGGAAACGCAGGAGTTTTACGATTTATTTGAGGAGTAGGTTCTGGTTTAAATGTTGGAGTCGGTTTAGGAGTTGACTTTTGAACAGGAGTTTGTACTTCCATAGGTTCAGGAGTTATTGAAGGTTTTGCTTGTGAAGGCGTTGGTTTTGGCGAAGGTGTTGGAGTTTGTTTAACTTCAGCTATTTCAGTATTATTTATAACATTTGCTTTATTTCTTTTCAACATCATTACTGCTCCTGCTGTAGCTAGCAAACCTAGTGGGAGACCATATTTTATATAAGGACTTGACCAAATGCTATTTTTGACAGGAGCTGGTGGAACACCTAACCTTGGTGAGACTGCTCTTTGCCATTGTGCAGCTCGTAAGAAATATTCAATAGGTGCTCCATAATCGTTTGGTAAAGTTTGTTTCATAGATGGTGAAGGTTCGCGAGAGCTTGATGAAGAACTCATTTATAAGCTTTAAAAATAAATGTTCATCCTTTATTCCTCACTGTCGTCCGTGGCTAAGTTATAGTCATCTAATCTTATTATGGGGATGCCATTAGCACGCACCTGAATGGCAAAGCAACAATCCCTCATAAATCCAATAAGTGGCTTTGGTACGTTTTCAGTTGCTAGTTCAATAGGTCCTTTAACAGACAATTTGTATGTTATTGGAGCAGTAGATGTTTGACCTTGTTGGAAGCAAAAGTCCACTTCTGTTGGAAAACCACATAAGAAATGTGTGTTGTCATAGCTATCCCATTTATGTTCCACACTACCATCATCCACCAATGACCTCATAACATCTTCATTAAATCCTATCATATCATTGTTTGTATTGCAGGCGTTCGCAACCATTTCATAAAATACAGGTCCATATGATTTTTCAGGTTCTGCAGGCATATTTCCATAAGCTCCCATGGAAAGCTGAAGATATTTAAACTTAGGGTTCTCAAAATTAACATAATAGTTGTCTTTCTTTCTAAATAGTGCCCAAATACTTTTAACATTAATAGGCGTATAAGCTGCTGTAAATGTTGCACTTGAACTATCTGTATTCTTTGAGAATGAACCGTCCATAGGAATCCAATCCATAACTTTAACAGGAAAACATAAAGCCTCGTTTGTATAATGTTCTACAAGTTCTGTATAAATGTTAGGGTCTAAAGAGAATGACTTTGGATGAATGAAACATTCATTAAAATCCATCTTTGTTCGAAATAGTTGCTGGTTTACAGTTGTAATAGTAACTGTTCCACTAGCTTCTACTGCCTTCGTTATCATAGTGAATGGTTCATTCCATGGAACAAATTTATTTGTCGGTGGATTTGAATCTGAAGCAAATGCAACTTTAAGAGTTGGATTGAAAGCAATGATATCATTTACAGATATAGATGTGCATTGTAAGGCGTCGCTACTGAACTTTACTTTAAGCTGAATGTTACCAGCAAATGCAGGAATAAATCTTATAGCTTCTAATGGAAGGAATCTTCTAACAGGAATTCTTAAACGAAGCTTAAAATCAAATGATTTTCCTGCTGTAATTGGACCACTAACAATTTGTCCTGTTCTGCATGTCCCGAATGACTCCATACATCTTCATGTCGAGTCTTTGAGAAAACATCTACTTTCTTTATTTGTTCGGTAGTTTGTGAGTTTGAAGTTATATATGCTTCTTCTCTTGCGTTGTCTTGAGAATATACGATACGACCATTTGCAAGGATTTGATATCCAGCAACTGCATAGAAAGCGTCATCGAAACCAATCCAAAATCCTGGTGGGTTTGTTTATTGGAACCTGAACCAATTTCTTTATCTGCAATAAATTGACCTTCCATTTTATACGTAATGAATGTATTGTAAAGGTCCAACATATTTTCACCAGGAGGTGAGAGATTGAATGTTACCCATGTGTTATCTTTAGCAGTTCCAGGTTGTGATGGAATCTTTGCGTCAGAATATTTTCTATTAGTGTCACCAATTTGAACTGCATTGTCTATGATATCGAAATATGAGCGAATCTGATGAATATGCTCTGCTGGAGTAAATTCGTTTAACTGTTCGTTCTGCATGTATTTACTTCGGATAAAAATATCTATTTACTTCATTATTCTCACTCTTCTTCTTGGCATTCGTGGTGGAAGTTGTTTCTTGACATTTTCAATGAACTGTACATTCTCTTTTGTCTCAACTTCTTTCACTGGTGGGTCAGGATTCTTTGACTCGGTTTGTTTTTCAATGAAATTCACGAACTTTGCAATAAGCTCTTGGTTCGTTATTGAAAGAACATCTGGCTTCTTTTCTTCTTGTTCTATTGACTTTTCAGTTTGAATAGAAGGTTTTATATGGGCTTCACCCTCGGTGCTATGCACCTTAATGTTGTCACTCTCTGCATTCGCTAATGGAACCTTTCTTTTTCTTACGTATATTTTACCATCTTTACTCTGACTTACATAATAGAAAGGATGTTGTATTCCTCTTGCGTCATTTAATATAATAGACTCTCGCTCTGATTTTGACAAGCTCATTTTACATCGGTTAAAGTTTTAATTTTGTTTTTTATCTGCAGTCAAATGACTCAGACAAGTCCTACGGACAAGACCCAGGGGGTCATAGATGTTGAAGCATTGAAGAAAGATTCGTGAGCAAATTTTATCCGAACTGAAGGAACAAAAACAAGAACAAAAGCCAGAGAGACCAAAGAGAAAACTTAGTGAAAAACAACTTGCTGCATTAGCTGCTGGAAGACAGAAGAACCCACGTTTGCTGGCGAAAAAAGCTAGAGAAGAAGCAAAAGCTAAAGAAGCTGAAGCAAAGAAAGAGTAAATGGTTTATTTTTATCCGAATTAAATGTATAGACAAATACCTTTAACTGTTGTGTTCAGTAGTGAAAACCCTGACGTCAAAATAAAGGGGAACAGAGTAACGTTTAAGTTTCCAACAGACTGGATTGTGAACATAAATGAAGAGAAGTACATTGGCATAACATCTATGTATATAACACGTGCTTTCAGAAAGGTTGACTTTATACTTCAAGTCGAGATAGAAAATGACGAACAGTCTTTAAGCGCCCAAAACATCACATATACAAATACTTTAAAGACGATACAACATTGCAACAATGTATGATTTCATTTAATGAGATGTTCGAGAAAAGTTCAACATTGAAGTACAAACTTTACAGCCTTTACGTGAGTTTCTTGCACAACTGAAAGAAGAAGGTAGTCAGCCACAACTTATAGACTTTCATTATGAATTTAATGAAAATGAAGATGGAACTCATGACTGTCAATTCATTGTATTCTCACCATTCAATGAAGTCGCTAAAGAGAAAAAAAATCCATTACGTATAAGATTTCAAATCTCCGAACCAAGTGATGATTTTAAGAATGTTTTCAATTATGATGCAATGCTTCCGAGGAAAAATGAATTTTCAAAGATTGTAACACCTGGCATTTGGGATAGAAAGCAAGCTATATTATATTCAAACTTAAGTAAAGGAGTTGAAAATGAGTTCATTGGTCATACAAGAACTTCACCACTGTCAAATCCTAAATACTATAAATTAACTGGCTTCAATCGTGAGTTTTGGATAGACATGTTCTCCACTCATGACCATAAATGTCCAGTGTTCTTGCCTCCAGATGGGAAGGACTGTCTCTACATTGAAGCACAACTCTTAAACTCTACCATCGCAGTATTGTAAAATCTACGCTAGCTTTATTTTTATCACGAATGACCTCATTCATGACCTCATTCATGACCTCATTGCTGACAAAAATAAATGACCTCAGAACTTCAACTTACGAATAAAGCTTGTTTTAGTCGTTATTGAAAAGTTGAACTTTTCAGCAAAGCAAGGTTGACATGACTTACATAAGTCGAATGCAATCTCTTGACATCATGAAGTGCTTTGTAAAGTTTCATTAAACTGAACTCAGAGTCTTTGTCATATGTTCCAACAGGTATGTGAATGTTCTTATCTTCATTGTAATAGCATTGTATAGCTTCAGGAAACATTTCATTAGCGGTTAAAGCAATAACATCTTGCTTCACGCCTTTCATTCTGCAGTGAAATGCAACTTCATTTAAATCGTTAGTGAGTAAGTCTATGTAGGTCTTCTTTCCACAGAAAATACTTTTATAAGCTAAACTTTGTTTTCCAGGTGTTATTTCTGCAAAGTCGCTATGAATTGACCAAGGTTTCTTTCCTATAAGTTCGCGACCATATCTCTTCTTAAACTCTGCTGCAAGCTTTGGGATGTCTTCATTATATAAGTGCATACTGTCGGTATCCTGGTAAAAGATTTGAAGTCCATGTCCTCTGCAGTACAGAATACTTCATTCATAATACGTTTTGACATAGACAGAATATTAACACCAAGTGGACAGAAGTTAAGTGTCTGCAAATGCTTTTCGTTAGCTTGAAAATAGTTTTATCTGAACCATCCAAACCTTCGAACTTCACTATATGGTTGTAATTTCTTATAGCATATCTTATAGCATCTTTGTCATCTACTATGGTTATTTTTGACTCAATAGGAGATAGAATATTTTGCCATAAATGCTGTTCAGAATGAGTTTTATAATTTCTTGTAAGGGGTTTTCTTCTTTCTTATACTTTAACCTTAACTCAAACAACTTCTTTACTTCATCTCTTATTCTCATATCTCTGTTTCCATCGTAATAGTATCCTTGCAACACTTCACATTTGACACCTTGATATTTTATGAGGTCTTGTAATGTTATATGGTCAACATACATGAGACAGCAAGTGTTTGAACTTCTTGGAACGTTAAGTTCTGGATTTAGTTCAGGGTCGCAAACTATTAAATGAAAGTGTCTGGGTATACCAATCTCTGTTATTTAATGAGAACAAAGAAGCCAGACATAAACTTTTCACCAATGGGTTTCCTTTGTGGTCGTCATCGAATAAATGTCTCATGAGATACTCTGTGCTTAACATTTCTTCCTTCAATACTTTTGGAATACCTTCTAAAGTATAAAGTCTTGCTATAGCTGAAGGATATAATGAAACAGTGTCGAAGTCAGCAATGAGTTTCTTTTTGCTCTTTTGTTTCATGTTATCTGACAACATACATCTTCCACCTTGAATGCATCTCGAAATAAATTCTCTTGGTTTATTTGAGAGGTCATAAAGATTTCCATTCGGGAAGTATACTCTGTTCTCAAACAATTTGTTAGCAATAGAACAAATACTAACGTAGTCATAAACGTTTAAATCAAACTCTTTCAATAAGTCATTGCGGAACTTTACAAAACCTTCTCTTAAAATTCTTACATCTTGTTTGCAGTAAAACGTGCTATATTTTTCTAAGTCGAAGTGGTTTTCATCTATTCTGCAACCTTTGATGGAATCTATGTTCTTCATAAATGTATCTGCATCATGGATAAACTTACATGCTTCAGAAATGACACCAGTTCTGTTGTCATTTGCTAACAAAACACTGCTGTAGTAGTTATATGGAAATACTTCTTTCGGTCCTGTTTGTAAGTTAAACATAGCAGGAAATAGTTTAAGCTTCTTATTTATAACACTGTAAGAGTCTTTTATAATAATTGCCCGTCCTTTATATAAACCAGTTATTTGCATTGTTCGTGAACCTTTAATGATGGGAGTTCCTTTCACTTCTGTCATGTGTCTTAAGATGAAGTTTATGTCATAACTGAGGTTATGGAAATATATTAAACTCTTGTCAGGAAGTCTTTCCAAAAATTCTGTTGCACAGTTTTGACCCCAAATACTTTCACTAACTGAACCATCTTCACTGTCATAACAGATGTTAAAAGCTTTATGAAAGCCATCCGTACTACACTCAAAGTCAGCAAAGAAAACGTGCTCAGGTATGAATTTACATTTAGCTTTATTTACTTCTTTTGACTCTGCTTTCTTCTTCAGTTGTACACAATACTTTGGAGCATATGTCAAATCTTTAAATGGTGCAAGGTTCTGTTTATATAAGTCAGTAGTATATGTGAAAAGTTCTCCATAAGAAATAGGTTCGAAATATTTGCACTCCCACAATGTTTTCATAACATCCCATAACGGTGTTGTTCTATCATAACGAACTACATATTTATCTTCTCTCTTTGTATAAATCTTCATCTGTTTCTCAATGTTCATTCCACCACAAGCTTTGAGAATTTCTTTATAGTTTCGAATGAAATATGTTGTCATTGGAAGTCTTTCATTTAGCATGTAGTGGTCTTCAACAAGAAGTAAGTCAATAGTTCTAACAGTTTCGCATTCTTTTGGTATATATCTCTTTATTTCATTATGTCTTGAGTCATTGAAATAACCAATGGTAACATTGAATGCTATACCAGTTGCGTCAGAAATTTCTTGTACTTTACTTTGAGGAAAGTCTCTAACACGAATGACTTCTCTCATGTGGTCAATAGTTTCTTCATTTACTCCAGCCTGAATGCAAGCATAAACGAAACAATTGTCCTCTGTCATAAGTGTTGCAGTTCTTTTGTTCAGTTCATTGAAGATTTGGTAGCGTTCAAGATTTATAGGTAATGTGCAAAGATACTTCCAGAACTGACCGCTTCTCTTCTTATAAAACTTCTTTTCACCATTTCTTTCCAAAAGCTTTCTATAAGTGCTGTTTCCCTGTTTGCTTAAGAGCTTCCAAAATGGCTTTCTGGTCATTTGTCAGTGTGCTTTCATCTCTATATGGTCTCTTTTTTGGTTTGCCTTTCTTTACATCTGACATCGTTAAGCCTTCATATTCTGTTAAATCATACATCTTTATTTCGTAAGATTCTTTATGTTTGTCAAGAAGAAGTCATAGTGCATTTCAACAATACCTGCAGCATTTGCTTCTATCTCTGATATAAAGTTCTCCTTCAAGAGCTGATGTAGTAATGTTCCAATATTATTGAGGTTTAACGTAGAACATTCATACTTTCCACCAAGTTTATAACATACCATCCATCTCTGTTGGGAGTTTATTTTAATTTTCTCTAAGAGTCTCATGAAAACCTTACCAAATGTTTGTGTAAGTAGTCTCTGTTTGGTTCATCTAAAGCTTCGATGTTAAAGTCAATGAGTCTATTGCCTGACTTCACATTCCTCTTCCTATTTTCTTCATCTTTCTTTAACCATCTCTCACCTTCTTTTGGTTTGTCGTCAATGGAACGAATGACATTATTAGCTTTGCGAACTTGTTCTATAGCACTTTTAAACATCTCTCTTCTCTGTTGTTTCAGTGTGTCATCTCTCTTTCGTTTTCACCAACGTTTGCATTTGTTATGTCAAACATTTCTCTTCTTACTTCATGTGGTACAGCTCTTCTTGTTTCACCAACGTTTGCATTTGTTATGTCAAACATCTCTTGACGAACGTCATGTGAAAGAGCTTTACGAGTATGACCAACGTTTGCATTTGTTATGTCAAACATTTCTCTTCTTACTTCATGAGGTATTGAACGTCTATGATATAAGTCAATAGCAACGTCATTTAAAGGAAATGCTCTTGCATGGACTTCGTCCTCGCCGCGTTGCGGCTTTATGAACTCATGAATTCTATCATAAGTTATTTCACCATTATAGTCATTGAGGATGTCAGCGAGTGCCTTTTTGTTTGTTGTGTAATGCTTTGCAACATCTATATTAGCTTCTGTAAGAAGTTGTTTTATTTCCGAGTGTTCTAACTTAGACAACTTCCGATACATCTTTAGTAGGAAATAAAAAAATATTTTTTGAAAAAATTAGATTAGATTTTTTTAAGTTATTTTTCAAAATAATTTAATATTTTTATTTTAATGAAACACATGCAAGATTGCAAGTTCTTTTCATACAATGCTCTCGCTACTGCATCAAGAATGAGTTCAATGGTGCTTCAAACGTTAATGTTATCTTTAACAAGAAGTTTGTGAAAGAATCTAAGTTCGGTCAGTATGTCAGACCATTAGCTATCGTCATTGACCGCAAACGTTATACTTCACAAGAGTTAGCAGTAGTTTTGAAACAAAAGAGTTTCTTCGTGAATGTCAAAGATACTCATTATACTATTATAAAGAACTCCAACATTGACTTCTTCAGTATTGCTATGAATCTTTCCGAACAGAAAGAATATAAGAAGGGTGAAACAAATGTGAAATATTATTCTTCATCTCTGAAAACAATAACGAACAAAGATGTTATACAAAAGTTCTTACCAAAGGTTGAAGAAGCTTCTATTGACATTGACGAAGGAAGTGAAATGGTTGAAGAAATTGACCCTGACGTCATTTAAGCAAAAATATATTTTTGGTTAGTCTTCATATCGATATTTTACAACAATTCCCCAATGTATAAACTTTTCATACGCTTTTTCATAAGCTTTATATACCTTCAGAAATTTTGCATAATCTTTAGAAGCATTTAGATATTGTTTAAATGCTTTGTATGTCTTCAGAAATTTTGCATAATCTTTTACATGTTGTTCGTTCTCTTCTTCTGTCATGAGTTCCGAATATTCTAAATTCATGTTCTTTCATATGAGATAAAATTTTATAAAAAAAATAAAATTAGCTTAGATTTTTTTATTCTTCCTCTTTGAAGTTATCGAAATATTCTGTTATTTTTTCCTTCAGTAATGTTAAGTCTTCTTTGAATGTAAGTATTGTGCAACCTTTGATGTCATAGTGTGTTTGAGGAAGAGTATTTTTGACAATTTCCTTTATTTGCTCATTCGGTGTCATTGAAATCGGTAAGTTTTCACGATAGAACCAGTTTCTGTCAGATTTGTAAATCTTAGCAAGGTCATAAAAGCTTTTGTTGTTTCTTCTGACTAAATGCAACATAACCATATCTCTATCTTCTTCTTTCTCCAACTCTTCAGTATATATCATATACTTATAACTCTTTTCCTTTCCTTTTGGTACCGAACGTGGTATTCTTTTCTGTATGCTTTTGTCTTTGGATTCAATGACTTCATCTTTTGCTTGAAGTTTCTTTTCCATCTCTCCACGTTCTTGTCTATGAATTTCATCTAACATCATGAAAATATAACAAGCATAACGAGGTGAAGCCCACATTGCTACGGCATTTACTAAAAGTCTATGAACATAATATCCTTTCAAACAAGGAGCCAAATTCTTGCGATTTTCGAATGGAATCTCTTCCCTCGGTTTTCCGAGGGAAGCAAACATATGAGGAAATTCTTCTAAAAGTTCTTTTGTCTGTTGGTTTTCAAACCAATGATATGCTTGCTTTGTAGAACGAAGAGCATTCAAAATACTTTGCATTTGGTACATATCGTCTTTGACCGAACGAATGAGACGGAGTTGTTTGTTAAACTGAACCCACTCGTATTCTTCATTTATGGCTTCATGAACGATAGCAGTTGTTGTGTTCTCTGTTGTTGACATATCTGTCCTTACATACAAAATAAAAAAAATAAATAAAAATAAAACTAACTTTATTTTTCTGTGTTAAAGAAATGTTAAAAATTCAGGGTTACATATGTGAAAAGAAGTCACGAACAAATGAAGGTCATAAGATTCAGCACATAATTCTGAATTGAATGGTGTGTCATACATGTCAAGCCGTCAAGAATTGAAGGAGATACGAGGCTATAAAGATTTTGGATATTTTCTGACACACACCCTGAGGGAAAAGTGACAAAACACGACGATAGAAAAAAGTGACAAAATTGAGAGAAAGTTGTTCCCCGACCAAAATGCAATCATGTTGAAAAAGTGACATTTGTAAAGTTAGACGATAGGATTTCCTGAAAAAGTGCAAGACTTGTTCTGAATCAGGACAAGATTTGTCTTGAAAAAATACAAGACTTGTTCTGAAAAAATACAAGACTTGTTCTGAAAAAATACAAGACTTGTCTTGAATCAGGACAATTGTTCTCAAATTTGAGAACTTTACAAGAAAAACTGACTAAAAAGTGCAAGACTTGTTCTGAATCAGGACAAGATTTGTCTTGAAAAAAATACAAGACTTGTTCTGAAAAAATACAAGACTTGTTCTGAAAAAATACAAGACTTGTCTTGAATCAGGACAAAACTTTACAAAATGTAAACTTTACATAACCGTTTCTATCGTACATGATATTTAGTTGACATTGTAAACTATCTTCATGTAAAGTATGGCGGTTTGAAACCGTCGGGAACCTTCACTTTTTTGACGAACTTTCCGCAGCAATTTTTAAAATTTGTGAAAACTCAACGGTTTGACACGTGCCATATGTCATTTTACTCAGAATTTTGTGCTGAATTCAGCAAAAATAATGTTTATGTTAGCATGTTAGATCTAACACGTTTTCTAACCTCTTTTCTAACATAACTATTTACAAGCGTTTTACATGGTATATGTTGCGATGGTTCATGACTTTAAACAGTTTTGTAGCTTCTATTTCTTCTTTTAGTACATCGAATGTTTTAACAATGCCGAAGGTTTCTTTATATTTCTTCTTGACGTCAGATAGAAGGAAATCGTCAGCAGTTGGATAATTTTTGTTCAGAAATGCTAACATGTCCATTTTATCTTCTGCTGGCTTTTCTACTTCTTTCTTTAAATCTGCATAGTCGTTTCTCATTCTTTCTATCTCTTTGACGGAGTAGTTATATTCCTCATCGCTGCCTTACATTTTGAACATTGCGGGTTCATTTTTGCGTTATACATTGAAATTTGACCTGCTAAAACAACCTAAGGCGTCAATTGCTCTCTTCATCTCAAACATAGCGGGTCTTAGTTTTCGTTCCATACTTTGCCTCTTCTATCTTTATCTCTTATTTCCCAAACACATTCAGCAACTAATGAAACAAAGTTATCGTAGGTCTTAAATTCTTCAGATTTATATATGTCAGAAACATTCTTATAAACCATGTCGCAATCTTTGTCCATAACTTTATGGTTGCAATGAAAACCAAGGAATTCATAATTACTTTACGTATGAACTTCTTTATTTCTACTGAGTCAGTTGTTTTGACTTCAATTTCGTCGAATTCAGGAATAGTTAGTTTTTGTTGTTGGATTTCAGGCAATTTGGGTAAATGGTCAATAATGTCCTGCATTTCATAAAGATACTGTTCATTTGTTTCATCTTTCGCACTACAGTCTAAATTACTTGTTAAAAGTTCTTGCTTTATCTTCTGGATTTTTGTTTCGAAAGTATATGAAGAAGGAATGAAGCTTTTCATCTCTACTAACATAGATGTTGGATTCATGACTAACGAGTTTGTGCTGTAGTTTGAATTGTTGTTGTGCCGATTGTTGAAATCATATCTTTACATACAAGATAAAAATTTTTCTTAGAAAAAAATTAGCGTTATTTTTCTTTCATAAGGAAATGTCAAAAATTCATGATTTTCGAGAGTTTTAGACCATGTTAGAAAAGTGGTTAGAAAACGTGTTAGATCTAACATTCTAACATAAACATTATTTTTGGTTTGTAAATAAATGGTACCATTAATGATATCATGACTTTCTCATTCATGTCTGATTTACATCTAATGA